TAATAATATATATAATACATTATATATTATATATCATAATATATTATAATATATATTATAATATATATTATAATATATTATACTATATTATATTCATATTTTATGTTTTATATAATATTGTATATTATATATTTTCTAATTATTATATATAAATAAATTAATATATTTTTATATTTTATATAAATATATTTGTGACTATGTTTTATGTTTATATAATATATTTATATATTCCTGTTATATATCACTACATTAACAATTCATGCATTTTCGTTTAGAAATTAATTTGCTAGTAATATATTAATTAATAATGCGTTAAGGTAATTGTGTGATATTTAATATACAATATAATATATAGTGTATATGATATCATATGCTGGATATATACACAATATATACAGCATATTGTGTATATATACAATATATATTATATATTGTATTACATTATATTGTGTTATATTATATATGTGATATAATATGGTGTATATACACAGGCACATATATATATATATATACATATATATACTGTATATATATATACTGTATATTTTGATACTTCCAAAACCATTGAGGTTGTAATCAGGAAGAAATTTTAATCATTACAATATAATATAGCATACAACATATGTATAAACACGTTCATATTCGACAGTACAAGAGTTCTCATGACAAGCTGATCCCCTCCTGCATCTCTGGGGTTTTGGCATCTCCAGTAATTCACTGGAATGGCTGTTTTTTTGTTGAGAGTGATGCTCCTGCCACTCCTGCTCCTGTCTCCCCACTGAAGGCACCACTTGGCTCCCTCCCAACCATCGGTGAGAAATCAAGCCCTCTGCTTTCTGGATCAAGAATTAAACTTAAAGGTTGTTTTATTAAAGGCTTTTTTTTCACGCTGAAGCAACTCGCCTTCTCTCCACTTGCAAGTATCCAGTCAACAGTTACATTTTATCACCTGTTAAACATTTTTTTCCGCTTAATAAAGTCATCGTTTCTCCACAGTTCTTTGCCTTAACTCAGATCATAAATCCCAATCTCCCCTGACATCACTCCTGTTTTAGTGCTACAAAAAGAATGAACGTAATTTAGGCAGATAACAAAATCCAGAGACAACCAAAATGGCAAGCGGAGCCTTTTTCATCTTTCTGAAGAAAACTACATAAAAAAGGGATAATACAGTTCAGTTGCTGGGAAGTGAGGCCCATCATCAGTCAAGTGTTATTGCAGTCTTGAGAGCAGAAGAGAGAGCAGAGTGTTAAATTCCAACTAAAAATCAAAAATGATTTATACACACAGACCCCTCCCAAAACCCACTAAAGCTGCCCTTCAACATCCATTTATTTCAGTTAAAATAAGTTGTTCACCCTGAACAATAAAACTACGTTGAAAGGACTGCTAAAGTAGACTGTGAGTGCCACACAGCACATAACCTCCCTCAAATATTAAGGTTATTCCCCAGAGCTTTTCTGACGCACAAATAAATAGGAAATTGGGTCCCCTCTCCCTTAAAATCTCAGTCCTTGTTTGCTTTGTTGTTATTCCCCCACTGGTTTCTCTCCACAAAGCTGTAATGACATTCCCAGACTGCCCCTGTCCTCCTTCAGCTGCCTGGTGTAAGCACAATTTGAGAATTCAAACATATATAAAAATGTGATAGGAAGCTTTTATATCCATTTCTGTATTTTTTCCCCCTCAAAAAAACTGGAAATATCAAAAATCTCAAGCAGGGATTAAAGGGGAAAAAAGAAAAAAAGAATAAAAGAAAAAGCCCAAACATTTCCAGTGTTCTGGCAGCACAGCACTAAAGTACAAACTCTTATTTTAGTGATAGAAGTAGACAGCAAAATTCCAGGACAGAGGGAAAGAGAGGAAATCCAGACACAAATCCACAAAAACAGTTCACGTATGAATTATTTCCACTAGTTTGAGAACAGCGTGTTACAGAAAAAAAAAAAACCAAGACAGACTAATCTGAAGGGCTGACAGTCCACCTAAAAGCAAAATGCCACACAGGGAAAGGATGGGGAAAAATAGTTCAAAGTAAAAACACAGCACTTTTTTGTGTTCCCATCCAGCAGGAACTGTGCTCCCGACGATATTAAGCGACTAGAAATAGTAGGAGCCACGCCCTCCTCTCAAAATAAGATGTAAAATGCCCCCAGTGCTTGTGCAGAGCGCGGTTTCAGGAGGGATTACTGTGAAAAGGGGATGGAAGCTGCCAAATTTTCCAGCTCTGAAAATGCTGGACAAGTGGAGTCCCCTGGAAAAGCGGGATCACCACAAGCTGTGAGGAATAAATCAGATCCGTGACTCTCATCTGAGCAGTATTTGGACACTCCCCGTGCACCTCAAAGGTTTCAGCAATGCTTTAACAGCATTAACCTAAAATATTAATATTAAACAAATACTAATATTGAGCACATATTAATATCTGTGAGGGCTTTTCAGAGTTGCTGACATCAAGTAATGCAGGGTGAAGATGCTCACACACAACCTCCTGGCCACAGCAGTGTGAAATCTTATGAGTAATTGTATTTTTAATATTGGATCGCAGTCATTTTAATTACTCAGTAGGACACCCATAATATGTTATATTTTATGTTTTATATGTGTTTTATATATGTTTTCTATATATTACATATAAGATATAAAATACATATCACATAATAATATATCTAAATATAATAATGTATAAAACATATATATAATCATATATATTATAAATACTGTTTATTTTTATTATATATTCTATTATGTGTTATGTATTTTATATGTATTGTGTATGTATGTTATACATGTATTATATATGTTATATAGTATATAATAGATATTATATGCTATAGTATTATAGTATTATATGTATTATGTACTATATATAGTATATATAACATATAATATAGATATATATATCTATATATAGAGAGAGAAATACATATATTCTATATATAAAAATATATATAAATAATATCTATCTATATATAAATAATACAGACATGTTATAGTATATGTATTATGTACTATATATAGTATATATAACATATATATTGTATAGTATATAATAAGTTACATATTATATACTATATATGATAGATAGATAGATAGATAGATAGATAGATAGATAGATAGATAGATAGATAGATAGATAAATAATTACAGAGTAGACTGATGAAGTATGAGCAGTCATTCTTCTGGACTCTTCACCACACCAAAACAACTTTTTTGGAATTTTACTATGACAAGAAAATTTAAAAAGGCATGGGGGGAAAAAAAAAAAGGAAGATGAAACTTTCTTTTTCCTCTAACCATGCATTTCAATGTATTTCCTTCCACAGTGAGGAGTGGCAGTGGGTCTTACTTCATCCCACTGGTTGGACTCCCTGATCTTGGAGGGCTTTTCCAACCTTAATGATTCCAGGGAGGCAAAAAACCCTGACAAAAATCAGCCCTGCAGCTTCCAGCCCAAGCTCACCCAGATAAAACCATTAATGCTGGAGCAGGACGTTAATGAGAATTAAAAAAAAAAAAAAATTAAGGATAACATGGGTTGGGGCTGCCCCCTCCCATTTCTGCCACATCCTTTCTCCAGAATCTATCTGATACCTCTTTTATTTCAGTACCACCTTATTTTGTGTCTAACCTTCTGTATGGCAACAAGAAAAGCCTTTAAAATACGTTAAGAGGACAAAAGGAACGTTTGCCTGAGGCAGGAAAAGCTCAGGGCTTCCCCAAACAGAGGAGTTTATTCAGTGTTTATTCGGGCTCTGCTCACACCGGGACAATAAAACTATTCTGTGGAGACTTTGCACAATGGGTGGCAGAGAGGAAAAGCTGCTTCTGGCAAAGCAGCATCAGCGAGCAGCACAGCCTCGCCTTTGTGGCACTCAGAGGATCCAGTTTCATTTATTTTTTTCCAGCAGAACGGCTCTGATAACAATCCCCAACCTGACCAACAGTCTAAGGTGTTTTTCTGGTCAGCAAGCAACCTGAAAAAGTATTTGTCCTGTTGTGTGTCTTCACCCCAGGCAAATGACAGGCATCATCTCTTCTCCTTCGGATAAGTAATTTTTTAAATTAGATATAATTAACAAGATATTCCACATATTCATTTTACGGCAACCATAGAGTTTTAATCAATACGAGCATTTTTCACAGACAACTTCCTTTCACAGTAACACTGAAACAGTGGCAGAATGTGCTTTGGACGGGTTTTGTTACAAATATTCATGCAACAGGTTGGGGTTTTTTTGGTCAAAATGTTGGGGTGGGGGGACCTGGGCACCTCTCTCATCGTGCCCTTGTGTAATGGATTTATTGTAATACAAAACCAGAAAAGGCTCCTGTAAATCACTGCAGGTTGACAGGGGTAGGAGGCACGGAGCTGGTTTTGGCTTTGGAAGCAAAGAGGAATACGCTGGCTGCAGGAGCAGGGAAAATTGGGAAGGCAGAAGAGTGTTAGGGGCTGGAAAAAAACAAAGCAAAGAAATGCCAACTTAAAAAAATCAAGGCCTGAAATGTGAAGTACAAGGTTTTCCTCTTCCTGAACACAATTCCAGCGGTGGGGAGAAACACCCACACCATCAGCGAGTTTAAGCAGCTCAATGCAAGGAGCAATTTGCAGTAAACGCTTTTAGCCTGAGAATATATGTAAGAGCAGCATGATCTCCACTCCAAAAAAAAAAAAAAAAATCATAACAGTACCACAAAATGGTTATTCTGAACTGAAACATTCCGTGCGTGGAACGGGGAATCTCCTGCTACCGCTGCTCACTTCAGTGAGCACATCCCGCATGGAGCACAGGCTGGTGGAGGGCCAGACTCAAAATCCATCCAGAGACCAACCCAGCAACACGTGGCAACCCCTAAACAAGCAGGGATCACCCCCAGGAAAAGGTGCACTCCCCTGTGTCTCTCTCTCTCTCTCCACAACGCTCAGAGGACGATCCGACCTCGCAGCTTTGGGTTCCCGCCGTTCAGTCCCCGATTCGAGGCGTCCCGTAACGCCCCCTCCATCCAACACCACCACCATCAGCCGCAGGCCGAACTTCTCCCCCAAAAACGACATCCTCCTTAAGGCAGACGGCGGCTCCTCACCTACTTAGCAGCAGTTTTGGGCCACCACTCGGGCGTGTTGGCGCTGAGCGGCACTTTGTCCCCACCCACGTTTATGCAGAGCGGCTCGTTCAGGTGAGCCAACCTCAGCAGGGCTATCCCGAGGTCACCTCCTCCAGCCCGGAACCTCCCGGCCGCCTTTCCCGACTCGGTGAGGATCTCGGCGCCCTCGGGAATGCCGTCTCTGGGGAGCGGAGCCGAGAAGGAGACGGGGAGCAGGCGCTTGCGGATGACGCCCATGTGGTGTGTCCTGGCCGTCAGCTCCTGCCCGATGTAGCAGCCCTTGGTGAAGCTGATGCCGTTCATGTAGGCCAGGTTGGATTCCAGAGGGAGGGCGACCCCAGGAGGGAGATCCTTCACACCTTCAGGGATTCCTGGGAAAAGAGCGAAGCCAAGAGGTAAATAACTCCTCCACAAGGCTTGTGCTCCAAGTGCCTAAAATTGTTTGACTCATCACCAACTTGATTTTCCAAGCCAGATGGACTCTGATTTAAGCACAGAACCACCACCTTTCACTCTGCCAATTAATTTAATCCACCGTCAGCCTGGACACCATAAAATCAAAGGCACTGGGACTCCCAGCAGTGAGTTTCCTCTCAAATCAAACATCCTCCCCTTGGCCTCTGAGTTAACTCAGCAAATCCGCCCGTGAATTTTTAGGAGAGTAAGTCTTGGGTGTTCCCTCTTCCTTCCTTAGCAACGAGCAAAACACACGGGCTGTGTGTAATCCCAAAATAACCAGAATTACTCAGACCACAGGAGCTTCTAAGAAAATGAATAATCCTGGTTTTCTTTCAGCATTCCTGACCCAATCCCCATCATCTGAGTTAAGAGAAAACCCAAATATTGCTTCTGCCCCCCAAGAGAATTCTAACTGCCAGAGAACGTTTTTTACTCAAAGTAGCAACTAAGACCTCTATTTATAAACAAACTAAACACATGACTTATTCCTGTCTTATCTCAGCACGTGGACTCCCAAAATCCAGTGCCACACAGAGTGCAAACGGGGACTCGACTTTACCTTGTTTATACCTGTGCCTGTGGTAATCCTGAACGTCTCCAACTCGGCTCCCGGGGATGATCTCCGACAGGTTGGCTCCTTTCTTTGTGATCAGCCTCCAGCCCATGACTCCCGCCCTGGGGTCGGGAGTGAAGAGCACAGCCTGGCCTGCACGTTTTGGGAGGGAGCTGGAGGCGTCTCCAGCCCCTTCCCCGGGGATGACAGCCCACAGGGAGAGGTCAGGGCAGGGGGCGATGTCGACTTTCCTGCGGATCTTGTACAGCTTCAGGTGTTTCTGGAGGGGCTCCAGGACGCTGCTGTCGCACTCCAGCAGGATGTGAGGCTCCTCTCCCGTGCTCCCGTGGAGCCTGAAAAAAGTAACCACCTGCGAGGTCAGGAAAACAAACCCCTGGAGCAGCGGGAGCCAAAAGGCTTTGTCTGGATCCTGGTGTGAATCCAGAAGTCCAGGCAGTTTCATGGAGGGCTGCTGGCACGCATGGAGCAGGAAATACCTCCTGTTTTCCAGCCATCAGTCATGTTCTTTCCCAGCAAACACTGCCTTGACCTCTCCCAGGGAAAGGAACAAGGTGTGTAAAGTGAGGGGAATTTCAGCAGGGGGAGAAGCCATGGTCAGCTGTGGCTTCCACTGGCACAGAATCCCAGAATGGTTTGGGTTGGAAGGGACCTTAAAGATGATCCAGTTCCAACCCCTACCATAGCCAAGGATACCTTCCGCTATCCCAGGTTACTCCAACCTGGCCTTGGACACTTCCAGGGATCCAGGGGCAGCCACAGCTTCTCTGGGCAACCTGTGCCAGGGCCTGCCCACCCTCCCAGCCAGGAATTCCTTCCCAATATCCCATCTCACTCTCTGGCAGTGGGAAGCCATTCCCTGTGTCCTGTCCCTCCATGCCTTGTCCCCAGTCCCTCTCCAGCTCTGCTGGAGCCCCTTTAGGCCCTGCCAGGGGCTCTCAGGTCTCTCTGGATCCTTCTCTTCACCAGGTGAACCCCCCCAGCTGTCCCAGCCTGGCTCCAGAGCAGAGGAGAGGAGTCACTAAAACCACTCCGAATAGGCGCTTTACTGCGCTTTAATTTACAGATATAAGGCAGCAGTGCCGCGACTGTGACACTGGCGGTGACAGGAGCCACCTCCGTGCCCCGGCCAGTCCCCTCTCCCCCCGCCGCCCCGCAATGGTCTCATCCATTCCCCCCCCCCCCGTCCCCGCATGGTCTCACCTGTACAGGATGACGTCATACAGGCAGCGACCCTGCACGTTCAGCGCGTGCGCGTACAGCGCGGGGGGGGCCCCGCCCGCCGCCGCCAGCTGCGTGACGTCATTGGTGAGCAGCCCCTGCAGGAACACGGCGGCCTCGGCGCCGCGCACGCCCAGCAGCGCCCGGCCCGGCGGGAAGCAGGCGACGGGAGAGCCCCGCCCGCCCCGGCACAGGCGGCGGAGCCCCGGCGCCGTTACCGCCCTCACCAACATGGCGGCGCCGTCAGGGGAGCCCGCGCC